CTTTGTTATGGAAGTAAACAATTGTAGTACAATGGAGGCGTTTCAGGCTTTGCAGACCATTGACATGCACAAAGACCTACAGTATATAAAACACTACAGCAGGGGTGATCAACCAGTCGATCACGTTATTAATCAGCTTTAAGTTTTTGTTTGTTTGAACTTATTCATTATAATTATTGTACAAAATGGTATAAGAATGCAAACTTAAATTGATTATAGTCTATTATCAATTCAGGTTAAGAAACTAGTGTTGCTTGCATCCTATTTTAAAGGCATTTCTTTTTATACTCTACTAAAATGCAACAAAAAAAGGGTTTGATTCTATTAATTTAGTCTTTTTTATTGCACTTTGGCAGCAGATTCCTGTGTAGCTTCAGATCTGAGTTGTCTTATTAGTAAAACTAATTTATACTTTTGGAGCAACACTATTTTTATATAATGGCAAAGAAAGGGTTCAGAGTCTTTTCTTTTTTCCTGTATCATATGTGGCAGCACTGTTCAATGTTTCTTGAAAACATTACCCACTGTAGTTTGTGACGTGTGAATAAACTCCAACTGTGTATCAACACCACTTGTGTAACTTCAGTTAAATACTTGTGTGTGTGGAGATTAGAAAGAGGTAAGATAAAGGATCTGCAGTATTTTATGAAGTATTAATCGTACAAAGGTCAGTTTTATACAAGTAGAAGTGTGTATTTACCTGGTAGTACGCTGTCAGTAATGGCTACGCCTCTCTATTTGGACTGGTAGATCTCGGCAGACTGGCAACTATAAAAGTAGCTCTCGGTTCAAAAAAGGTTGGGCACCCCTGCACTACAGGAAAGAGAAAACCCCCAAAAGGCATGATAGGGCCCCTTACCCTCTGCTGAGATTTCTGTACGTATATTCTAAGTCGGATTTACCAAACTCTCTACTGTACCTGCGAAAACTGGTATTGAATCTGTATTCACGTGATGAATGTCACCTCTGTGTTTGTGAGATTTAATCATTAGCATCATCGACCTTCCCAAATTGCCATTTAAAGCTGCCTGTTCTGCTCTATTTGGTGAAAGATTTAGTCGCAAAATGAGTTGTAAAGATGTCAGATTCATCACTTTCAGCGTGGACATACTAAGGGATAATATTATTGCAGCTGCCTAACGCATGTCTTTAGAGCCGCGCTGAACTGTGACTGAAACAGAGATGAGACACTTTGACATTAAGTTATTGACAATGAAGAAGGTCAATCTCACAGTCTGTGGCACACTTAATGGGAGAAATTGCCTTTTTCACAACCCATCAGTGTGAGAAAGACAGGAGGTCACTCTTTAATCCTCCTCTGTTGCTCTTCATCGAGCTCCTCTTCAATTCTCTTTTGCTTATCTGAATTGAAGGTCTGAGGATAGAGGTCGCAAGAGAGAAGATTGATATTTTAAACACTTTTGGCATAGTAATTATAATATTATAGCTCATAATAGTTTATCTTAAGAGGGACGAAGAAGAGGAAGGGAAGAGGAGACAAGGGGATGAGGAGACAAGGGGGTGAGGAGAGGAGGAATTTGAGGATGAGGAGCAGAAACAACAATGGCCGAGGAGCTTCTCACTGAAGCATGAAATGAGAATTTGAGGGTTCTTACTGGTCGAAAACACACACACACACACACACACACACACACACACACACACACACACACACACACACACACACACACACACACACACACACGCACACACATGCACACAGACTCATAGTGCACAACACACAAATGTGAGTGTGTGTGTGTGTGTGTGTGTCATTCATCAACACTAACCAGCAGCAGAAACTAGAGAGTCTCTCAGATGTGGGAAATAAATATCCAACACACTTCTCCAGTGGTTGTTTTTACATCACAACTTAAATCCATTTAAAAATGAGTGTTTTTCTTTGGGCCTTGCTAATCCCTCCTAAGTTTATTAACGTCAGACCAGTAGCTTTTAAGTTAAACTGCTGACAGACTAACAAACTGAGCTGAATACTTGACCTCCTCGGCGCTGGTTAGAAACAGACTTTATGTTTGACTTTAAAGAGTCCTCTCCTGCTGATGTTCAGGTGTATATCAGTATGTAGTGTCTCTACTTTAAAGAGTCCTCTCCTGCTGATGTTCAGGTGTATATCAGTATGTAGTGTCTCTACTTTAAAGAGTCCTCTCCTGCTGATGTTCAGGTGTATATCAGTATGTAGTGTCTCTACTTTAAAGAGTCCTCTCCTGCTGATGTTCAGGTGTATATCAGTATGTAGTGTCTCTACTTTAAAGAGTCCTCTCCAGCTGATGTTCAGGTGTATATTAGTATGTAGTGTCTCTACTTTAAAGAGTCCTCTCCTGCTGATGTTCAGGTGTGTATCAGTATGTAGTGTCTCTACTTTAAAGAGTCCTCTCCTGCTGATGTTCAGGTGTATATCAGTATGTAGTGTCTCTACTTTAAAGAGTCCTCTCCTGCTGATGTTCAGGTGTATATCAGTATGTAGTGTCTCTACTTTAAAGAGTCCTCTCCTGCTGATGTTCAGGTGTATATCAGTATCTCATACTGCCTGTGCTGCAGCACCTCTTTTCACCCTCTGTCTGAAACCAGAGCCCAGTCTGCTCTGATTGGTTAGCTGGCTAGCTCTGTTGTGATTGGTCCACCCCTTAGAGATGTCCCGCCTCTTAGCCTATCACAAAGTGATTTCACCATGTTGAGGAAGTAAACAAAGTAGTCCAATGGAGGTGTTTCAGGCCGGGGGGGAGTGTGTGGGAGAGAAACTCCCTCTGGAGGGAACACAGGAGCAAAGATGTTAGCCTTTGCAGACCATTTACATGCACCCAAACCTCTCTAACAGAAAAGAGAAAACCCCAAAAGGGCCCTCTATATCATAACATTAACATGAAATGTCTCTGTGACTGTTTTAGCCTCACTGAGTTGAGCACAGATGAGTTTCTCAGAGCTGCAGCAGAGCAGAAACAAACGTACAATATTAAGATTTTTTTAATCTGGACTCAAACGGAGGTGGAACAGAGCGTCAGGTTCAAGTTCAGGTCCTCGACCCGCCTGAAGACATTTACTGTGTGGTCCTATTATCCTCAGCCAACACACACACACACACACACACACACACACACACACACACACACACACACACACACACACACACACACACACACACACACACACACACACACACACACACATACACACACACACCACACACATACATACACACACACACACACACACACACACACACATACATACACACACACACACACACACGCACGCACGCACACACACACACACACACACACACATACATACATACACACACACACACACACACACACACACACACACACACACACACACACAAACCCAGTGGGAATTGGCAGCTCGGAGCGAATTGAGAGAGAAGGCAGAAAGTCATTACTTCTCTCGCTAGATTTTGTGTGTGTGTGTGTGTGTGTGTGTGTGTGTGTGTGTGTGTGTGTGTGTGTGTGTGTGTGTGTGTGTGTGTGTGTGTGTGTGTGTGTGTGTGTGTGTGTGTGTGTGTAATCCCACCATCAGTATGCCGGTCATGCTTTGCAACAGAGGGAAGGAAATTGAAGAGAGAGTGAGAGTGAGAGAGAGAGAGAGAGAGAGAGAGGATGGAGGGGAGAATAAGAGGAGGGGGGAGGCGACAATCCAACATGGAGTTCTTTTGATTACAGATGGTAAATGTTCCTTCAGTCACCTCCTCCTCCTCCTCCTCATCGCTTCCTCGTTCCTTCTCACCAGAGGGATTTGAGGTGGACGTGAAAAGAATGACAGACTGGTGTGTGTGTGTGTGTGTGTGTGTGTGTGTGTGTGTGTGTGTGTGTGTGTGTGTGTGTGTGTGTGTGTGTGTGTGTGTGTGTGTGTGTGTGTGTGTGTGTGTGTGTGTGTGTGTGTGTGTGTGTGTGTACTTTTATTACAGTCCAGATTGCTGTCATGTTTTCTAAAGCCGGGGTCACAGAGGTCATCAGAGAGAAGTCTGGACTGAACACTCTGAAGCAGCCGTGCTGTTGTTCCAATTTATTTTCTCGTTCCCTCCTTCAAACTCACACTTGACTTTCCTCAGCTTCATGGACAGAGGCTGCGAGACAGATAGAGAATAGATGCTTCTGCCATGTTGAAATAAAGACTGAGGCTGCCTGATTCAAATTGCTGTGATTTGTTGAAAATAAGTTGCAATATATTGTAATACTGTAAGCAAGGCAATATGTGGCATTGTTCTTTAATCGAAGTTACGGAGACTTTCTCATTTGTTGCGCCATTAGACCAGTGGTACCTGCATTCCTCACATTCCTTGCAACATCATTGCACTGCTTTTCTTGCAATTTGAGCAAAACAAATATCTTTGCCCATATCATTCAAAGTGCTTTCAGGATTCATCAGATTCATAGATTCTACAGCGTTGTTGTTGGCAATGAAAATCCTAAGTGTCTCGGTGTCACAACAGTGCAACATCCAGTACAGCATACTCAAGATATATAAGAAACGAGACAATATTGCACGTGACACAATGGTGCAAGTAAAAATCACATGAAATCAATACAGGAATGTCTGCAAATAGAACACACTCTATGTATTTTATTATCCAGAAATCCAAAGTGCTTTAAATAATTGTTACAGTATCACAGAAATTGACATTGCAATACTCAAATCTGTATGTTCTTACACCCCTACACAATACCTAGACTTGGAGTGTTTTCGTATGTTTGTTTGACAGGCAACCGTTTCTGTCAACTGCTAAAATAACCTCCGCCACTTTAATGTAAAAAAGACAAGCTCTCATTTTCACCGAATGTGTGCGGCATACAAAATGCATTACAGATATAGTTACAATAAAAAACAGCTGCATTATCTCTGAGTGTGTGTGGATTTAAGAGCAGTTGAGTGAATATGTGAAGCTGTTGAAGAAAATTAGTTTATCTCTGAGTGTTTGCTCCTCTGATAACTCTCTCTCTCTCTCTCTCTCTCTCTCTCTGCAGGACTGAACCCAGCAGGAGGCTCAAACTGAAGGTAGGCCTCTCTATTTCCCTGTTTTTGCTTTGATTATTCACACATTTTGTATTTTCCTCTTTTATTATTTTCCTTATTATTTTGTTATTATTTTTATATTTTTCTTTTTTTGTTATTCTTCTCTTATTTTTGTAAATATTTTTTAAATAATTGAATTGATCAATAATCAAGACATTTTATTTTGCAAATGGATAAAAATATGACAGCAAGGGATGTACGATTAAAAAAATCTGAATCAGAATACCTTTGGGGAAATGTGCATTTGTTAAGGCCCGGACACACCAGCCCGATTTTGGGAGTCAGAGGCCGTCAGAGGCCGTCAGAGGCAGTCGGGCATTCGTGGCGCCCTACTCAGGTTTGTGTGTCCCGCACCGTCGTCTCTTTACGGCACCTTTTCACACCTCCCTCCCGCGACCGATTCAACATGTTGAATCGGCCGCGGGAGGTCAGAGAAAGTCGGCCCAAGCAATCACTCTGATTGTCTGTTCACACTACCGCTGCTTGCTGGTAAGGACAGTTATTGCCACTCGTCGACTGAAGCCGACGCAGGCGACGAAGCTCACGTAAAAGTCGGGACGCCTTCGGTACGCGTTCTTTGGTCTCAGGTGGGTGTGTAGCGGCCTTTACAGCAAGAAACGAGCCAAAGACAGCTTAATATTAACCAAGAAGCATGCATACAAAAACTACACAATTTACAAAATACACATCCTGTAACAGTTCTGAGAGAGATAGCAGCCAGGTATATATTGCACAGCTATTAACAGCATATATATATTGCACATAATTGGTATTGCACAACAAGGGGTGTTATAGTCTGTGTTGTTGTGTGTGTGTGGGGGTCTACCACACACAACAACACAGACTATAACACCAAATTGCAACTATTTAGAATTACATTTAAATTGCGATATGGATTTTGCATCATTGATATCATTTTCTTTGACAAATATATCTAAATTATCATAGTGTCGTTTTTAAGAGGATCAGTCGCAAACAAATCTGTTTTGTTGCACCCGTAGAATACAATTTGTATGCTGGGATATCTCAATATTGCTTTGTTATCATGAGATGTTTGCTTTCATTTCAAGATGACAAAGGCATGAAACTGTGATGTTGAGATTTTCTGGTCATAAAAATGATACACACTCGGAGTTCGCTCCCCGGTTGTGACCCAGAGCCGCACATTCCTGATTAATGATGCAGGTTGGACCCAAACAATGAACACACACACACACACACACACACACACACACACACACACACACACACACACACACACACACACACACACACACACACACACACACACACACACACACACACACGCACACAAACACACAATCAGCCCAATACATTGGTACTGTACACACACTGCAACACGTAAACACACAGCGCAGTCACGCACATGAGGTCATCACATCCAAACACCCAACATGACGACTGAAAACGGTATGTCGAGGATGCAAAACACCGTCGTTCCTCTCAATACGGTTTTCTCGTTTTTCTATGATTCAACTCACACCAAGGCCACATATACACGGCTAGTTTTTAAAATGTGTTTTTCTTCAGTTATGAATAAAAACCCTATTAACACAAAAGCAGTTAAACAAAAATCTAGGATTATATAAAATATCTTCAAACCTGAAGTCATGTCCAGAGCTCCGTAGTGCATCCTGACGCCTCTGTTAGGTCGTCCCTGTAGCACTTGTTGATGTGTCCTTAGGCAAGATACCTAACCCAAATTGTTACTGATGGACAACGTGTGAGTGTGTGAATGTTACTTTCCTTGAGCAAGTGCAGCTTGCATGGCAGCCTCTGACACTGCGGGAATGTGTGTGAGTGGGTGAATGCTGATTTGTATATGAAAGCACTTTGAGGAGTCTCCGAGACTGAAAAAAATGCTAATCAAATGCAGTCCTTTTACCATTTTGGCTGTGTCACCATGTAACCTCATCAGTGACGCCTCGCAAAGGTAATTAAAAGATAACAGTGTAAACATAACAAGCCATAGGTAGACATATGCTTTCGGACTGTCCAAATTATACACTTTCATCTTCTTAAGGGAAACAAATATCAGGGTTATAGACCAACTGCTGGCTGGAGGAACAAAACATGATCAAGGCTTTCTCTCCGTTTTCCAGTTCGAGATCTTTCAAACTGCCTCTGAAAAAGGACCAAGATTCACCTTCAACATCAAGTTTTGTAGAAGATAAAACATAACATAAGCACTGCTGTCAGTGTCACCGTTTAGTTATATCTGTGTTGAGAATAGATATGAAGAGGAGGTAGAACATTGAAGCAGTGAAAGAGTTTGAGTCTGAACTCTGTAACCTCCACAGAAAACACTGTTTGTTTCCCTGCAGATGATTCTGGTTCAGCTCCAGATGACCTGCACGCCTCCACATTCCTCTCAGTGTGTGTGTGTGTGTGTGTGTGTGTGTGTGTGTGTGTGTGTGTGTGTGTGTGTGTGTGTGTGTGTGTGTGTGTGTGTGTGTGTGTGTGTGTGTGTGTGTGTGTGTGTGTGTGTGTGTGTGCGTGTGCGTGCGTGTGCGTGTGTGTGTGTGTGTTCCCACATGTGTTTCTGATCACTGGGCAGAGACAGAGAGAGTTGGATGAGACAGAACACGTGTCACGTCGACACTTGCTGACGTCGTTTTCAATTGTAGAAACAGCGAAATGATGGACTTAATGATCGATGAATTATTAAGATGGTGATTTAATCTGATGTTGACCCACACATCATTGACTAAAAAGACTCTGAAAACCTCTTATTCTGAAATATAGTCTCACTGTCAAACTGAAACAAAGTTCTGTTTTGTTTTCCGTGAACGTGTTGACATTGCTGCCGCTCGATTCATCTCCGTTCGAGCCAATATGTCGGAGAACATTATCTTATAGCAGATATATGGTGTTGGTTTATGTGTAGAAAAGAAAAGGTCAGGGCAGAGATTGTTTTATCAGCTGGAGAAGGTCTCCTATACATCACATAGTTCATGTATACACTGTCAAATGTTCAGAATACATATTAATCTGAACAATACATGATGAATGAAGTCTTTTTTGGAGAAAATGTGTTTATTTAAAGAGGCCGTATTGTGCTTGTTGTTGTTTTCCCTTACCTGTAGTGTGTTATATAGGTTTCTGTGCATGTAAATGGTCTGTAAAGGCTAAACAACATTTTCTTTTTTCACACACACAAACCACCAAATATCAAGTGAAACTAAGAGAATGATATCACTTAAAAAATCATTATCAGCCCCCATACAGATAAATGGTATAAGTGTGATCATCGCACGTTTTTCAGGCGCATAACAACCTCTGTGTACGTTTTATTTCGTAAATGTCTTTTAAAAATGTACAACATTTTGCAGGAAAGTTGAAGGTGCAACGTCCTTTCAGTTGAAACAGTTCAGATGTGCTGCAGGGATTTAATCTATCTATATCAGTGTAGCAGCTTCATCTATCACTGTTACAACACACACACACACACTCACACACACACACACTCTCAAAGTTAAGCCATGCATCATATTGTTAACCTGTCCCGTTAAGTCTCCTGACTGCAGTGACCACTGGGACTGAACCAGTAGAGCTCAGTGTGTGTGTGTGTGTGTGTGTGTGTGTGTGTGTGTGTGTGTGTGTGTGTGTGTGTGTGTGTGTGTGTGTGTGTGTGTGTGTGTGTGTGTGTGTGTGTGTGTGTGTGTGTGTGTGTGTGTGTGTGTGTGTGTGTGTGTGTGTGTGTGTGTGTGTGTGCGCGCGTGCTTGTCTTTCTATAAAGTGCTGTTTGAGGGTTCACACTTAGTTGTGAGTGCGAAAGTACAGCGAGTGTGTGTCAGAGAGAGAAATACAAATCTCAGAGGAAATTATTTGCAAAATTCAAATGTTTTCAGTCTGCAGCCGTCAGCGCTGATCTTGAATCTGATTGGCAGCCTGACTCTGTGACAGCACTCCTGAATCCCAAACGTGCTCTTTAAAAGGTTGCCCCAGTTAAATTACAAGTTATTTTATTATGTTTGGAACTACACTTTCCGAGAAAAGGTTTTCATAAAACCTGCTGACAGTGTGTTCTTGATTTTCCAGACAGATATGGACACAGTTTCTGAAAAGAGAAGTAGATAAATTATTTAGTAGTGTTCCCGATTTCCTTATGTCTTGGGGTGAGGGCAGAAAACCAAACCGAGTATAATCCAAACTACTATCTAGTTGAAACTATGAGAGTAAGAGAGAATGTGTGAACTGAGCTTTTCATATCACAGTTTTCCCTTCGTATCTATTCACCACACATCTATTGTGTGTCATCAAAACTGTTAAAGAGGTCATATTATGCTAATTTTCAGGTTCATATTTGTATCTAGTGTCTCTACTGGGACATGTCTCCATGATTTAGCTCTTTATTTTTCTCATACTGCCTGTGCTGCAGCACCTCTTTTCACCCTCTGTCTGAAACCAGAGCCCAGTCTGCTCTGATTGGTTAGCTGGCCGGCTCTGTTGTGATTGGTCAACCACTTAGAGATGTTCCGCCCCTTAGCCATACGTACAATTTGTTGGAGCGCTAGCCAATAAAAGCACGAGTGTTACGAAGTGATGTCACTATGTTTCGTGCAGTCCCTGGATGTTTAAAAGTCATATTTATTTTGCCAAATAGAGGCATAAACTGGATCATATTATGCTTTCATGCATCATTTTAAATGTCATTATTCAATAAGTTGTAATAAACACATATTCCAATGCTTTAGAAACACAGATTCTACATATTGTATCTTCCACAAGCATAAAAAAAACAAACATTGAGCAGGGTTTTTACATTTAAAGTTACAAAATCATCATGATTAATATACAGAAGCGACAACTAATAATTACGAGGCACCTTTTTACCAATATTCTGAATGCTTAGATCGAGCACATACAGTATTCCTTAAATTACAATATCTGCTGACACTGCCACATAAAAGGAGAGATTTATTTCAATCAGCCATATAAGTCAGATACCTCGACACTTT